TATCCTGCAGCCGATCCTTAAACCAGCTTTGTATTTGCTGATCTATTTGATGTCCTTGTATTTTTGGTGGTGACGGCCACCCATATTACGCCCATATTCGTAGGCTCCTCTCAGCTAGGAACATGCCCTAAGAAATTCGCGGAAGTTTGTTCAACCCCTTGCAACACTGAACGTAAACAACAACAGTTTTACCCTGAGCTGAGCTTATAGATTATCACTAGCTTTTTTTTTACTGAGCGTATAGATTATTTTTAGCTTTTTAAATTTTAATTGTGATACTTCAGTCTAATGGAATATACGTATTTTGTATATACTATTATATACTCTATACTTTTACGTTATTATATATATATATATATATTATATATCTGACACCTAAATGTAATTCAGCGTATGGCAAGTATCAATCTAACGATTGCATAATCACGCATCTCAATTTGGAGACGGAAACTTATTCCGAGCCCTACTTTAGCCAAGTTATCTCTTTGTTGCTTAGAGGTCACTTTTTTCAAAAACAAGAAGTTCTTTTTCCAAACAAGTAGTTTGATACTAATTTAGGTACTCACCTCTGTAATTAAAAATAGGACTCATTATATAAAACGTACCATTGGAAGGTATAAAGTGATTCTCTGACCGATGATGAGAGACTTCGAGTTTTGCAAAATTTCCCACTTGCGTTTAAAAGGAGTTCTGTTCAAGCTGGTTCATTAATCCTACACTGTATAATTTCGCTCAATCTCACATTTTTCTTCACAATTCAACACTGCAAACCTCTGCTATCTGAACTACTAAGGGTACAAAAATGTTACATTTAAGTGCTGAGGAAGTCCACACCCAAATGCGTAATTCCGTTATTCCACACCCAAATTCCGTAATCCCGAAAAAACTTGCTCGATTTGTTCTAAATCGGTTCTTGGGCCCTAAAAAATGAAGTTCCGGCTATGGGAAAAAAAACTGCATCAAACAACTGTGTTATGCCACGGGAAGTTTTCACTTGCTCTCGATGACTGGTCAAACTACGATATCGGATACCTTAGACCTTCGAGGCGGCTGTCCTTCGCAAAAATGTGCTATTTGAAGCACAAACGTCACAGACTGTACAATTATGAAATGTGCCATCTGGCAAAAATTGTTCAGGCCAGTTGGAATTTATCGTATGCCAACTGATGCACAACAGTTCAAAACGTCATGAAAAGCGGGCGGGGACTTTTCGATAGTCTTATTGCTTGCTTTACAATTTTTCTGACAACTGTTTGCTAATCAAAATTTTATTGATACGCGTTACTTCGGAGGCCACCACGGGAGATAAATTGAGAAAATTCCTTGCACTGATTTTTTAGGGTATTGTGGGAGTATGAGGGTTAAATTTAGGGCAATTTTCTAAATTAAACTAGTTATAGTTCTCACTAGAGCTGCCCCCGCCCTACAGTACCATTTTCTTTTTTTTTTTTGGAGTTGGGCTTGTTGTTTACAGTTGTGTAATTTTTCTATTATGCTGTTACGGAATTGCGGCTCAGTACTTTGGTGTTAGTAATTTTGGATCTCAAAATACTACAAGTGTACAAAATTTAGTTTTGGGAAGTGCTTGGGGTTTTTTTTTTTTGCTGTGTGGTTTAACTTAGGATTTGTTTGTTCTTCACGATCAAGAAGAAGCAGAATGTAGGGACTTGGGTGAGTTTTAACATTGGAATGTTATAGGTGGCATTGGAGAACAATTTATAGACAGCATTGAAGAACAATTTATTATTATATAGTTATTAGACACAACATTATACCTTAAGAGGGCCTACATTCTCTCTTCTCCAGTCTTCCTCTATACTAGGACAAATCTCGTGTCAAAGACGCCGATCCTAAAAGTCCTCGCGCGCGTGTCTTTTTACTGGCAGCCCATGACCATTTGCGGGAAAAACGTTGATACCTTGCGGCCGTGCAAGCGATCAAATCGAGATTTTTTCTGGTTATGATCTACCGAAAATACCCACATTCTCTTCTCCAGTCTTCCTCTATATTACACGGGGAGTCCTAAGGTGCCTCCTCGGGTTTTTGGCCCTCTGGGGCCAAAAACCCTGCGGGGGCAACAATTATTGTAAATCCTGAGTTCAAAATAGATTGTTATCTTGTCAAAGGCATGTGGACCATTTTTTTCAAATTTTTTCAAGCGATGACAGCAACAACAATTTAATGAGTGTTCGACTTTTTATTTAGGGTAAAACCCCTTGCATTTCTGGAAAAACGTGGAGAATGAAAGAAAGGGTAAAAACTGCTTTCATCAAAAGCAGCGTCTGTGTCATGTCACGCTATGTAAGACATTAATAGTCACGTGAACAATAGTGATAAACAAATGCCCGACCACGTGAACGTTTTTAAAGAAGTGACCAATTTTTTTTTTTTACGTGACGACTAAAACCTCCACCAAGTATTTTACCCTATTAAATGTCGGGAGAACTAGCTATCGAGTGCATTATGTTCGGCGAAAGGCTACAAATAAATACGGCTACTGTGCCCGCTATCAATTCGTTCAGCGCTAATACTAATCATGTTAAGTCGATAAGATGGCAGGGGAAATGATTGACAATTTTGAGGAATTTTTGCAACGTTCGATCCCCTCGCTCTTTCATCACACTCGTCGAAACCTTCATACTGAAAACATTGATTTTCTGGAGTATTTTGAACGCCGATTAGATAATCGCGCGTATGTTTTTAGGTCCCTTATATTGCAATGCGAAGACCACAACACTAGTGAGGACTTCCTTCAGCTGCTTTACCTTGTGCATGAAAATATCAGTGGTGTAAATGGTCAGTTCCAAGATATTTGTTTTATGCATGGAGACTATGCTTCGGAAATGGAATTCTCGTGCCCCTTGGAACAGTCACAAAGGTCTGTCAGGTAAAGATTTCAGATCACTTAGGAAGTAATTCGATGACTGCATGATATTCATGGTGTTAGGAAAGAAGTAGCTAAGGAGGCAGGTATGTCTCATGAAACAGTCTTGAGAAGGCGACACTAGTATTCAATGGTAGTAAATGATACAACTGGACCTAAAATTACGTATTCTGACATTCCAAATGGTCAGCTTTGCCAAGTAGTCAACGAGGTACTTCAAATAATGCCAAATGCTGGAGAAACATACGTCACTGGAGCACTGCGAAACAGGAGAATTCGCGTCCAAAGGTAGCGTATACGTGAAGCCATAAACACTGTTAACCCAGGTAGTGGCGCTTAGGTAGTCACTGGACCTAGAAAAACGTATTCTGACTCCAAATGGTCAGCTTTGCCAAGTAGTCAAGGGGGTACTTGAGAATGGATAATAGTGTTAAAAACAAATTTAATTCGCAATTACAGTCCTGGTTCCTGATTGCATCATCAGGCTAACAGGCTTATGCGATGTGGATATTAAATATCAGTTAAAAGGCCCTTTGCAGTTAGTGAGCAGGTTGATATTTGTGAAAAAAACCCTGAGTTTCAGCTCCTTACAGTAGATAGAAAAATGGGAACAATTTAATCAACTGCTTAATCCTAATAAAATGGTGAGTTTTATTTTGTTCTCATTTTTGTTATAATGAACATAAGGAGCTGGAACACTGGCTTTTAACTAATAGTAACCTTTTCTTTTCATTTCTGGGCATCATTTAGACAATGCTGCTTGATTTAAGGGTGGGGCTGACTGGGTTATGATTCCATTTTGTTCTTCAGGATTGTGTCATTACCAGCACAGACAATTCAAATCATCTTCAAAATACCAATTCAGCATTTTTTTTTCAAATTCAGCACAAAATAATGATAAATAGTGCCCTCACGTTTGTGTATTTCATTGTCATTTTAGTTACAGATAATGATTCACCATTGTCCAAAATATGCCTTCTAGAACACGGGGGGATTCCCTTAAGTCAAAGGACGTGGATGCTCTTCAGAAACTTAGAAAATGACCCCTAACAGGTTACCTGAGTCTAATCAAGGTGGGCACAGCAACAATATCGTTATCCCTGTAGCTCATGAATCACATGAGGAATTCAAAAGAGCATCGATCACAAGCTTGCAACGTGGTGGAGCAGGATATGGAAAATTTTTAATCCACTGTTTTCCATTGTTAAGGATCATATTAGAAATGTTATGTTCTTTTATATTCAGATTATTCTTTTAAAAGTTTAATGCATTTGGAAATTTTTAATTCCACTGTTTTACAAATTTTACAGAAGAGTACAAATTGTGATTTTCAAATCAGATTACACAGCTTTCAGCAGGTATGTTACAGAAAAAGGGAAAATCCAGCTATTTGATCTGTCAACCTTAATCATACATGAAAGTCATCTAGTCAAAGTCTTGAAAACACATTGACCTTTGTAGTAACTAAACATAACAGTTGAACAATATATTATTTGAAAATACTCTTCAGTATTTGGGAGTAAATTCTGTTACAATTATCTTATTACAAAGTTGAAAAAAGCACATTATTAGAGCCTGAATAACAAAATCTATGTTTACACTTGAGTTTGAACATTTAGTTAGGTGTAGGTATGTTGTAACTTTAGTTAACTTGCAATGCACTGAAACACATCTGCAAATATGGAATTAAAAACTTTTGTAGGCCAAATATCCAAAGTTGTTCTAGAGATGTCTTAACAGAATGATATTATACACCTCATTCAAAATAGTCATAACATGAAAACATTGTCACAGCAAGTTCTTTCTTTGTGTGATAGTTGTTTGAATATTTTATGCATCTCAGTAAGTATTAATTAAGCCTTCTTGTATATATACTGGCAGCAAGTGGCTCTATGATACATTACTAGAAAAAAATCAAATTTGGTTTGACGGCACTGTTGTCTTGCTTTGATAATATAGTTTTTGAAATAGGTGTTAAATCTCCAGGTGTATATTCTCTTCAACATGTTTATGTGTTCAATTAACTTGAGTCTTGAGTACATTCAAGTGCAGCAATGCAGAGGTCAACATCATGGTTGCCATCATCTAATAAGGGATCAGGGATGCACCCCTGTAGTTATTGCTCCTGTTCAGACAGTGAAAGAGACACTTCTGGTATTTGAACATCATTATCAGTGTTGTAGTCAACTGGAGGACCACCACCAGTTCCAAATTCATTCATCTGTTGTTCATCAAAAACACTTTCTACAGCTAGATAGTCAGAGTTTTCTGAAGCATGTAATCCAAAATGCCACAAATGCCTTGGTGATCTGTTCCCTTGGGTATTTAATGGATGATAATTCTGGCTACCTGACATTTCATTCAATTCTTTGTTTAAATGTGGTACATGAATACAATGAAGGGAAAACAAGTGACATTCATCGAGAGGATCAAGAAACAGATTTTGTTCTAGAAAGTAAAACAGATTGCGGTAGTAGCTAACAATGATTTTCTTTACTTCAAGCCAGAGATGTTCTGTCCTCTGGTTATGTACACTGCGACCCGTTAGCGTACTGCCTCTATTTGGACCTCGTGCAGGGTGAATCAACATTTATTCTGCTATTCCAGCATTTTTGGTTCCAAAATCAAATTGAACCCTTGATGGCAAGCCAAAAGAGTTAACTGCCTCTAAAAAAAGGTTTAGTGACAGTTTCTGATTTGTTGTTTTTGGAGCATTGGAGGTAAACAATGTATCTACTATAACCATCAATACCACCATGAATCACAAAACGCCATCTTCTCAATTTGTGATGGCTGTCAATGTGCCTACAGTAAATAAAAACAAACATGCAATAATACAAGAAGTGTAGTTTTCAGCAGCAAATTACCAAGCTTTTATGGAGTGAACACACTTAAATCAGTGAAATAGTTACTAGCCTTTTAGTGCATTATAGCTCAATCTGGCATAAACTTCAAAAAGAATCACAAAGACCACAGATATGTATATTTTTTTTGTTTTGTTTTTTTTTGTTTGAGGTACCCTCAAATAAGTTGGTTATTACCAGCAGAAATTGCCAACTTAGGGAAGACAATTACCAGGAGAGAGAGGCTGGTGAAAATGAAAAAAAAGTATTATTGCTCACCCCACCCTTTCCATATGCATTCTTTTACAACATTCCTAGAGAACCAGTCCCATAGTACCTCCCAGTGAATAAATATATATTAAATATTTTTTTTCTCTCATCAAAGTGCATTTGGGCATGGAACTTTGTATGTGCGTCTTAATTACTTTTCAAAATCGCCTTAAAGCACGTCTACCTGGGTCAACAGTGTTTATGGCTTCACGTATACGCTACCTTTAGACGCGAATTCCCCTGTTTCGCAATGCTCCAATGACGTAGGTTTCTCCGGAATTTGGCATTATTATTATTACGTAATTAAAGGTCCAGTTGTTTCATTTACTACCATGGAATACTGGTATTGCCTTCTCAAGACTGTTTTCATAGTCACACCAGCCTCCTTAGCTACTACTTTCCAAATACTACGAATATCATGCAGTCCTCGAATTACTTCTTAAGTGATCTGAAATCTTGGCCTGGCAGGCCTTCGTGACTGTTCCAAGGGGTACGAGAATTCCATTTCCGAAGCATAGTCTCTATACATAAAACAAATAACATTCTTGGAACTGACCATTTAAACCACTGATATTTTCATGCAAAAGGTAAAGCAGCTGAAGGAAGTCCTCACTATTGTTGTGGCCTTCGCATTGCATTATGAAGGACCTAATAACATGCGCGATCATCTAATCGGCGTTCAAAATACTCCAAAAAATCAATTTTTTCAGTATGAAGGTTTCGAAAAATGTGAGGAATGAGCGAGGGGATTGAACGTTGCAAAAGTTCCTCAAAATCGTCAGTCATTTCCCCCGCCATTTTCTCGAATTAACAGGATTAGTATTACCGCTGAACGAATTGATAGCGGGCACAATAGCCGTGTATATTTGTAAGCAATGACGTATATAAAATTTCGCAATCCCTAGGTTTAGATATATGTAAATGATAAAGGGCATAAATATTTACCGTATATTAGTAAAATATTTGTAATAGGATGAATATATATGTGATTAGCCCCAAATATATAAAACAATGCCATACATATATCGATACATATATCGTTAAGCTGGAAACCACTCCGCTTCGCGTCGTGGTTTCCTACGCTTATCTCGTGTTCTCCCAACCTCCCAAGTGTTTACATCAGGCTATGTAAACACGGAAACCATTTTACATTTCTTCAATATATTTCTTTTACCGTAAATATTTGTCGCTATATGACATCGTCCCATATGACAACCCATAGTAAGGCAAGCAAGAATGCAAACCACTCCAAAAATTTTGATAGCTAAGAAATGATGACAATTTTATCTAAGATTATTTAGGTGATTGTGAAATACTGCAATTTGCGTAGACCGTCTGCATTGTTCTTCATTTCCCTTTATGATTGCGCAAGAAGGGCATTAGTTTACATTTAGCGACAATGAGCACGTCTAAACACTCTCAAAGATCACTTTTAGCTGCAGTAAAATGTGGGTGTTTATTTCGCAACGCATCACTCTGGAAATATGAGAGACCGTTTTCGTGGCTTTTCTTAAAAAGGACATTCGTCATAAGCAACCAATGTATCAGGCTGGAAAAGGGGATTCCCTGCGATGAAGTGACTTTCGAAATCCAGACGAAATGTCACACCACTGGAGGTAAGAAATGTTACCAGTGATATCTATTCGTTCGTGTCTAATACTGCTGCACTGTTTTCGGCCTGCCGCGATTAACACATCGTACTATCCACACAACTGCATCAAACCAAAAATCATGCGATTGTAATAGGGCCTATCTCTATGCAACACCGATGAAGCAAAGCAACAAGCGACAAAAGAAAACGTCCTGCGAATATTTCTGATCATCGGGCTCACGAATAGTTCGGATCTTTTCAATTCTTTTCTTTCAGTGAACTGTTGCACATTACCGATAAGCACAAATAACCTTGCTCGAGGATCTGGCAACAACCGCGAAAGCACGCGCTTTACGGTTCCTTTCTTCGGCTGCATTAGAGTTTTTGCTTGTTCCCCTATTAGCCTCATGGATAATTAAGGGATAGATATCAAGACACAAAATGACATCTTGAATTGTGACAGGTCTGGAAATAAATTTGCTTTTACATTTTACACAACTATTTGAGCATTTTGCTTCATATTTCGTTCGGAAGACCTCGAAATAGGCTACAATGCATAGCTCCACTGCTCAGACACATTCACCGACTCAATCAAGTTGACACTATGTTTTCTGAGATATTTTACAAGACTTGGTCGAGTACACAATAATAGTATCGTTGGCAGTTACGGTCAGTTACGTCTCGTGACGATCTTTATGATAAAGATACCTGCACAAATTTCACGATGCTCTTTGCTTGAGAACACGTCAATTAGTCCAAAAGAACTGGTACATGTCAATCCGCCCATGCTCGTTGGGTTAGCCTCAGAAAAATTTATTCTAGCTGAGTTATTCTCAAATTTCACTCGTGATGATGTTATCATCCGATTACGGCAATGGATCTATAATTACTGTCATGAAAACAGACCTAAAAATAGTTCAAAAGCCGAGTAGTTGAGAGCAGAACCATGATATTCGGCGTCATTTAATGTTGTAAGGTGTTAATTGTTGGAGTAGTTTGTTGTATTATGCATTGACTCTTCGTTGATAAACGACATCAATAAAATGGTGGCGTGGTGTAGAAACCGAACAATAAGGCAGAATTACTGAGTATTAATATCTAACAGTTAGACATTTGGGTCATAACCAGCAAATGATTTGCGTGATGTTCGCGCATAATATTTGTCCTAATAGTCTTAAGAAGTACGATAATTTTCAATGCTTAGAGGACATTTAAACTCAAAGTACCACCGTGCAGAGCAGGCATATTTTCCCCGTTTTTCAAGCCACCAGAGGCAAGCGTTAAGCGAGTACGAAGTGAGAGTCACGCAAAAAGGAGGGCAGCACAGAAAGATATATTTTTTGTGTTCTTCCAGATAAACAAGTAATAAATATCACTTGAGCGATTATTCTTAGTTTTATTAAGTGACCGTTCAATACAAGTGAAGACAGTACAAACAGGCCGCTTAATACAGAGTAACCGCTTAATTCGGTGCCCCCTAATACTGATTTGATTAAAGTTTGGTGTTGTTCATTACGGTTTGGTCTAGTTTAGAGTAGTTTGGTGTAGTTTGCTGCAGTTTGGTGTGGTTTGCTTGGTGTACTTTGGTGTATATATTGGAGTTAACTGCACTTTACTGTAATCATTGTAGTTTGGTGAAGTTTTTGTAGTTTGGTAGAGTTATAGATTGGTATAGTTGAGTGTAGTATGGTGCAGAGATGTTTAGTTTGGTGTAGTTTGGTGTGGTTTGCTTGGTGTACTTTGGTATATTTATTGTATTTCGCTGCACTTTGTTATAATCATTGTAGTCTGGTGTAGTTGTTGTAGTTTGATAGAGTTATGGATTGGTATAGTTGAGTGTAGTATGGTGCAGAGATGTTTAGTGTGGTGTATTTTGATATGGTTGGTGTAGTAGGAACTATTTGGTATAGTTGGTGTACTTGATGCGGTCTGGTAAAGTTTCCCATAGTTTGGTAGGTTTCTTGTAGTTTGGTGTAGTTTTATGTACTTTTTTTATACTTTTTTTCAATGATACAGTTTGAGGTATAGTTAATGTAGTTGAATGTAGTTTGGTGTACCTGTCCTAGTTTGCTGTACTTAGAAAAACGTTTGGCATAGTTATTTGTTTTTGGATGAAGTAGATGTATAGTTAATGTAGTTGGTGTAGTTGGTACAGTTGGGTGTAGTTTATTAAGTTTAGTGTACTAGTTAAGTGTGTACGTAGTTTGGTGCAGTGTGGTATAGGTTTGAGTAGTTTGGTGTAGTTGGGTGAAGTTTAATGTAGGTAGTGTACTAGTTTAGTGCAGTTTGTTGTATTTTGATGTAGTTTAGTGAAGGATTGACTAGTTTGACATATTTGGTACAATAAAGTGCAGTTTATCGTAGTTTTGTGTGATTTGGTGTAGTTAAATGTATTTCATGTTCTAGTTTAGAATAGTTTTTTGTAATCTAGTGTAGTTTGCTTCAGTTTAGTGTGGTCCGGTGTACTTCAGTAACATTTTTGCGGTAACTTGGTGTGTATCATGCAGTGTTAAGGGGAGAAGTATCTGAAGAAACTGGAAAAGGATAGGGAGTTGTTTAGGATTGTTGTATATTAGGGTTCGTTATATACTACTATAGAGTAAAGCGTGCACAGACCAAGTGCTCTACACAACTGCTTTATTAAAATGTCATGAAGTAAGTTACACACAATGATATTTGAGCATAATCACGTGACTGCGGTCAAAGGTGTGCTAACCAATAGAATAAAGATTACATAATAGCTAAGGTATTTATCCAAATAGGAACAAACACTACACACACCTATTGAGATATTTATGCAAGGAAAAGTTTTGATAAAAAGTATGCGTCGGAGGATTGCTTTGAGATATTTATCGTATTTTGTAGCTGCAAGGCAAGAAATGTGACCATCACCCAGAAATCGCACAAGGAGAGAATTTCACTACTACTCAAGTGGTGTTCATTACTGCGAAGATCACTTTCTTATTCATTGCAATGAAAGTTTTCCTTGTTTCCCTACTGTTTAGAAAGTGAGGAAGGAGAGGGGGAGGTGTTTATTCGAGGCTCAGGTGCTTGTTTCACATCACGCCCAGCTAATTCGGGGGAGGGCAACTATTTGCAGCATGGGCGCTTATTCGAGGAAATACAAGCATATCAAGCATATCCGATTCGACAGGAAGTTGAGCAGATTCCGCTTTTATCGCCGGTTTGACAAAATTAGTTTAACCACGTTGCTTTTGACAGAGGATCTTTGAAGTAAGGTAAAGACAACTTTTAATGTACTTCCTCATGTCATCCTCATTTGATCATGGCCTTTCAAGACGTAATTACTTAATACAAGTTAGATTTCACGCGTAGATTCCAAGATAATGGAAAAGGAAAGCACCACGTGGTCACATTTCTCGACGTCTGCATTCTGTTTCAGTAGATATACCGACCATTAATAGAAATTACGTCTTCAGTAGTCAACACCCAGGTTCCGTTGATTCATACGTTTTAAAGTAGACCACAGAAGCCAGCGACGTAGTTCCCGAGTGTCTCTTGATAATATCTTTTGGTGAAGTGCCACGTGTTGGCGTGAAGGTCATCGGAGTCTTATTGAGATAAACGACATTGAAGAGAATTCATTTTCCATTATCGGGTAAATTTTCAATACAGCGTCCGAGTTTAAATATAAGCTTTGCTTTAAGGATATAGGAGAAGATTGTGAGAGATTTTTGGTTTAGAGTGGGAAGAGGACAATGTTCGATTAGCATCGCGCTTGCGAAATTAGATTTCAACGTCCTACGTGGTTTCTGCTTCCATTTGTAAACAGTGCCACGGTCGTTGAAAAAAGTTGCATCATTTGCCGCAGAATCTCGAGGTTTTTACAGATTTCTTTAAGAGATAGTAATGCTGCAAGCGTGTAGAAAGAGCGACTCTTTTCTCAGTCGAAAGAATCGCTGCAAGAAACAACTAGCTTTGATCTAATAGCTTCGAAGCACCTTTCGCAAAGAGACCGAAAGTCGAAGGCGGACAATCCTCTCGGCCCGAGAACATAAAGATAGTGCACCTAGTCTTCTGTGAGAGCTTTAACGGGCGGCACAATAAATATAGTGACCGGTTTCTTCCGGGGAAGATAGGCATCCTTTCGTTCACAATGAGTAGCGTGTATTATGAAAATTACAGTCAAGCCCGAATGGTCTATCATTCGCTTGGCTCACCTCGAAAATATTCTGTTAACTCGAGCCATACCTGATTTCCCTTCTTCAATGGAACTTTGGCATTCGTATCAATTCGCCTTAAGGATGACTGAAATCTATTTTCTTTTTGAAAAATCGGTTTTCTGCTGTAATCATTATTTTTCGCGATGCAAATACATTAATTTCGAAGACAGAAGTGACAGTGGGCGTGATGGCGGGCGTAACGCCCGATGGGATTACGCACACGTGGGAAAATCCGATCAACTGTGAAAACACGTTTACAGGAATCGTTTACAGAGCCACGTGGCGTGGATAAGTAGCTTTACAATCTTTTAGAGAACCAAAATATACCATCATTTTTTAATTTCGTCGAAATTTGTTCGAAGAAAAATTTTTGGAAAATCGAGGAGACGTAAGCAAACTGCAGAGTAACTCTGGTAAGTGTCGCACTATTTCGCGTTCACCGATCACAAATGTGCCGTGCTATCATTCACGTGACTCTAATCGCCGCACTGCATAGATTTGAACTGGCATTCGGTTGGAAAAGCCTTTTTGAAATAGTTGTTCGATTGGTTACATATCCATGTTAAACCTTGCAAAATTTAAGAGGTTTCTTGTGGTATCCTGTCACCTGCGAATGTTCACTGAAGTCTCCGTAGGCCTCTAGAATAGTCCGGACCCTTTAGGGCATAAAATGAACATGTCGACATATGGGTTATCATGAAAAGCTTTTACAACCACTTTAAACTTACCCATTCTTCTAAGACCTGTATTATATTCTCTCTCTTTCAAACGTAATTTCCGAAATAATGTTACTATCATGTGATGAATAAATTTCATCGACACAAGCCAGCTGAGAGTCACGGGGTATTCTTGTGCAAAGTCATACCTCATAGGCAAAAAAACGGAGATTACAAATAATTAAACCACCATATTTAAGTGACTTGCGGAGTCATCAACGTCATAACTTACTTTTGGTTCTCAGGAGCGCGAGGGAAGAGCATCAGTAAGTCGTGTTACATGTAGGTCCATTTTGGTCCACAGTTTTCGAAATTTTTGCCAATATTATTTGAGTTAGCCAGAACTTCAGGAACTTTTTAAAGTATTGAAATGTTTAATACTTCACTTAATTTATAATTTCTCAGACTTCCATGAAAAAGAAAAAATTGGTGTCATGTCGATCGAGAAAGTGTACTGCTGATCGATTGTTGAGCAAACTCGTTGATCGCTGTAAATTTTAATCCTTCGATTCGGTTTAAACCATGGAACTTTAATTTTTTAACGCAGTGTTGATTACTTATAATCGTTGTATACAGTTGTATAAATTGGTTCCCCTTCGCAAGTTATGCTCTTTTTTACTTACCACAATAATTTCATCATTTCGCAATATTTATCATGTATGTGTAACAGTGCCTCTCCGCGTGACACAGCTTTCATTAATTGTTAAATCTGGAATGGACTTCTGGACTTGATTTACGGATGCCTTACATTTGAGAAATTTATGATTGGTTTGTTGCCATCTTTGATTTTCTTGGGTGGATATGGCTGGAGGGGGGGGGGGTCAGTCGTCGCCAAACGAGCAAAAGAGGGGGGGCATAAAAATTTACTGCAAACCAACTGCCAAGGAAGGGGGGATCATAAGAATGTCATATAGGTAAATTTAATCGTGACACAGCAAAATCTTTCATCCCTCTCCTCCCCCTCTCCCTCAGGAGACAAATAATGACCAGTCTCAGTCTAATACCCAGACCTTCCACGACCAAACGGTTGTAAGGATTCCACGTTTTAGTGACACGGTAGGATCTGGTTACGAGATTAGACAGATCCCTAAAGGCACAGTCACGTGCGCTGAGTCACGCAACGATACAACACCTTTTTTTTTTGTCTCTATAAGTCAATTGAGTTCAACTTATGATTACCAATTATCATTATTATAAAAACAAATAACGATTTTAACAATCTTCTAAATCCTGACAGCATCGATATCATATGTGCAGAGACTGAACCGCGTTGTTTTATCAGTAACTACAGGATTGACTGAAACAGTCTACCGTGAAAACAATGTTTCTTCACCTAATAATTTTTTTCAGAGATTGTCTGTCCTCTGGTATAATCATCTTCTATAGTGACCACTCCTAGTTTGTGGCCTATTCATCTCCAGCAAAAACACAGTCGGAGTACGCGGAGTTATGTTTCGCCGGTGTACATGTACTTGACGCCATTGTTAGAGGTGACCTTAAGCCTAAATGAGTTATAAATCTTGGAGAAATATGCAAAAACAAACAAACCAGACTTTGGATAATTCAATGCGAGTCTCAAAGATCGGTTGCAAAAATATTAAAATGCTTCCATTCTATATTGCAAACAAGAGATTGTAAACTGTTTAAAATCTCATGCTTACAAAGGTTGTGCAGCGGCTGATGCGTGACAGACGTGACAGCCTCATCTGGAAAGCTTTGCGAGACGTTCAAATTTCCGATCATATAAAGGCGGAGTACCTTTTTCAGAAATAAACGCTCATAGAAAAGGTGAACGTCACGGCCACCTAAATCATATATACATCTCTATACATATTGGCGTCGTCGAACTTGTCTTTGTACTGAAGACAGGGACATAATGCACATTAAAGCGTTGGAAACGTTTAGAGCACTAAATCACATTTGTGCAATGTGTTTCTGTCTTGTTTTTCACATTCAGTTTATCATTTATTCTCCTTCACGCAGTGACGTTCCATAAGGTATTCAGAGACAAACTACAGAACCATTCAAAGAAAACCAGCAGCAACTCTGAGAAACTTGGCTGCTGTTGGCCCACTGGATCCAAAAAAACTTTCAAACACTTTCCCCAGAAACTCGCCTTCGGGTGAGCGTTCATGGTTAGGAGACAAACTTATCGATGAACAAAGTTACTGCCGTTTGCCTACAAGAGAATATGGCCTTCTTCTATTTGAACGTGACCTTGCTGAAAGAAATCTCAGAGTTGCAAATTACCGACTTTCCAACGAGCGACAAAAGCAAAGAAATCAAGGTAGATATGGTAATTATTCCTTCATTTACCTTTCGCTCTGAGTTTTTACGTAGAGACACATGTTGAAAATCTAATTCAGAGACGGCCTAAATGTCATCTTGAAACCGGCTTTCCCAGTTTGCAAGAAGGGAACCACACTGTCTAGAGTCCTATCAGTATAATCAATCTGCAAAGCCCTGTTCTTAGCATTCTTGAGTGTGGACTTGCATCAGTAGGACCCTGTTATTTTACCTTAGATAAATCTGCCCTTTACCCTTCATACATCGAACCCTCTGTCCTTAGTTTCCCTAGTTTCTGACCTGTATCCCCTGGTATCTCACCTGTTTATTTTCTCAGTGATAGGATCTGTGTCTCAATTCAACCTAACAATGCTGCACTGCTATAACTTTCCACAGGAACTATGGAAACTAGAGATCAGCAAAACAACACGGAACATGTGCACGAGGAACCGATTCAGTCTAGCCCCCGACTGAGCTTGAAATTACCCTTGGATCATTGCAGTACTGGGGAGGACGGCACGAGAGTCCATTCTCATCTTAACGGATACGCACATCACCAAGACAACGTTAGCCAAGACAGTAACTCTGAAAACGAAGACAAACATGGACATGAGGCAGCTAATAATTACACGAGCAGTTCTAATGTCGATGACGATCGTGGTGGTGGTGACGATGATAATACTGATGATTATGATGTCATTAGCAACAACGAAGAAAGCAGTGAGAACAAAGACGGTGACGTAGTTAATGACGATGACAATGATGAGAACTGTGATGAAAACTGTGAAATTGAATATCTTAATAATCATGAAAGTAGCAATAATTACGATGATGAAGAAAACTTTGCCAGCAACAATGGTGTTTGTGCTGAGAGTTGCAACATTCAAGCCCCTCTATGCCCAAAAGAAGACGAAACTTTTGTGGAGTCAGATGAAACCGATGAGTCTCTAACTGAAGAATTAAACGCCAGCTTGCTATGTAACTCACAGTACAGCATTGGTGAAGACACAGGCAACTCTAGTGCTGAGAACAATGATGGAAGCGTGGCCAGTAGTAGTAGCAATAATGACAGTTCTTGTGAAAATTCCAACACCAGAAGTGACAAGAAGAAAACTAAAGACCTGCAAAAACCTAGCAGCTATAAAGTAGGAAATAATAGCGAGCTTTCAGGGAAAAGAGATAGTGAAGCAACAAGTCAAGGAGCAAGACCAAAGATTCTTGCGAAGAATCCAGTGTTTTTTAACGCATTTGAAACAAACTACCATGATGGGAAGATACCATCCTTGGAGACAACTGGTATTAATCAAACCTTTCTCGCCCGGCACTCAACAGATCCGAGTCTTCCACAGAGCTCGTTTGCAGAAACTTATGACATGCCACCTAGCAACAAGAATTCAAACGATTGGACTCAACACTCTATAAGCAGTAATAGCAGTTCCTCCTCACTTTGGAACCTTCACCGTTCGCCGGCTCCAGAAAGAAGCGGGTTGATGCTAGAGAATGCATATTTCAGGGGGTTGAGTTCATGGTATAGAGATCCAATGCCAGTGAATTACCAACCTCTAACACCAATGACGGGGCAGATCCCCAGCGCCAGTGGCTTCAGCCAAGACGTTGACTCGTTTAACTGGGATGAAAACCTGCCAAGTAACAAACATCAAACAGGCTTTTCAAGTTTGGAAGACTTTTCTATAGGAAATGAGACTCAGACAGCATCACCTTTACTTGGGGTCGGACCATTGGCGCCCGCTGTGAGATATCCAGCCGTTACCGCACCAAATTTTCCTACCACCATTTGGCAGTTCTCTTCAAGCACGACTTCAGGAAGTGTAGTCCCAGTTACTTCTACTTATGATGTGTTTAGCAGTCATGAACAAGAACGCGTAGGGGACTTCAACAGGTACAGGCCCTCCCAAGGAGATACCCAAGATAATAGTGGTTTGACTTCATCAGAAATGGTTCATTCAGAGAGGCGAGAGGAAAGCTTGAGGAGCCATGGCCCTTTCAATTATCAACAGGAGGGTTCTTGTGCTTCAGTATCGCTCAGGGACCCTTCACTGGTTTCTCTAGAACAACAAGTGGCTGAAATCGATAGAGTTCTTAAAGAGCGAGAAGAGAGGACCAAAAAGCAGAGAGAGGCAGCACAAAGACTTAAGGATACAAGAGAAAAAAGGCAAAGAGAAGCGAGAGAAAGGAAACAGAGAGAAGAGACGGAAAGGAGAGAAAAAGAAGAGAGAGAAAGGAGGGAAAGGGAAGAGAGAGAAATGAGAGAAAGAGAAGAGAGAGAAACGAGAGAGAGAGAGGAACGAGAAAATAGAGAGAGAATGGAAAGAGAATTGGAAGAGCGAAGAGAAACGGAAACAAGAGTGAGAGAAGACAGAACCACAGAAGAGAGCCTTTCACTTCAGGAGACTCCACAATGGCAGTGTGAACATTACCAGCGGAGATGTAGTGTCAAGTTTCCATGTTGCGGAGTGTTTTATTCGTGCCACCGCTGTCACAATTTATCGGGGACATGCCCTACTGATGATAAGAAGGCACATCATGCGACGCATGTCAAGTGCGGAAATTGTGGACACGAAGAAGAGGTTAGTATCTTTTGCATACTTGGAATCTTGTCGTACTGAAGAAGCTTAGAGAAAAAAAGCTCTTAAAATCAGTTTTATCCCTAAATACCTGACGTTAAGATCCCATGGGAGTGAGTTAGATGTAACTTCACATTTATGAGAAAAGCAAGACCAATAGAAATCCTTCGGCTTGAGCGAGGTAAAAACCAAATTCCTTGTACACACGAAGGCCAATCAGCGAGGGGAAACAGTTGTACCCAGGTACCCACTGGTCATAGTTTAACATCTGACTGGCCGGGGTGAGGTGGTGTGAGTCTTTTAGATCAATCATACAGTTGTATAGTGAAAAACCAATACCGCATGCTAACTTCTCTACATTGCAGATAAATGAAGGAAGTCACACCTGTAGACGCTGTGGAATAAAAAAATCCGAATATTTCTGCCCAAAGTGTAAGCATTTTACAGGAGTTGATAAGAACCCCTTCCACTGCGAGAAGTGTGAAATCTGCCGGTAGGTTGTTTTTAAGTCGATTTCAAACGTACTGAGACTTATAGAAACGTTTGTAAGCTTGTTGTTCATATTTGTTTGTAATACACTCTAGCCACTTATGGATGGGAAAAAATACGAAGTGGACCTTTAATCGTTTCTACAATGCACCGTCCTCTTGAAAAATACTAAGATAGTTTCAAGGGAATACAACAACGCTTTTTACTTGTAACCAGCACGTCCTCTAAAACTTGTTTTGATATCATTTCATATTTCCTCTGCCGAAGCAGAGTTCGGTTCGTCAAATTATCGAGTAGATTTCATGGTACTGTTCGTCTGTTCAATAATAGATCACAGATGACGTCAAAATTGGGTAACAATAGAAAAAAGTGGCATATGAGGCGCGGCCAAGTGTATTACTGATGTTCTTACCACATGTTGACTTCTTACTGTACAGACCCACAGCAATGTGAGACATATTTGTTTTCTATGATAAAATTAGTAAAATGTTGTTAATGGTGAGTCAGACGTCTCTCCATGCGTCTGTCCTCCAATCGTAAACAAGAACCAATCAAAATGAGTGTATGATTCGACTTATCATGTAAGGCTGATTTCGATACGAGTGCTTCTGGCAGTGGATTTATTCACAGTTATGCATTATCTTACAAGATTTTGAGCAAGTAAAAGAAGATCATTAAAAAGACGTGACATTAAAATAAAGCAGTCGATGATACGTAGCGTAAAGGCTTGTTTTGCCCTTGCAAAGAAAAGCACATCAGTTCTTTGTTTTGCGAGCTTTAAAGTTTAGGAGGGAATCCAGGTTAGAATAACGTTAGTGGTGCCATGGGCCTATTATGTATTTTGAGTAAACTTTTTTTTTCTCATTTCATTATTTCATTGAGCATTTACAAGGACAGATCATTTCACTGCGACGTGTGCAATGTTTGCTTGGATAAGCGACTGGAGGGAAAACACAAATGTCGGCCGAACTCAGGACATGACGAGTGTTGCATCTGCTTGGAGGTAATTAGAGATCATATTTCATACTTTTAAATTACTTCAAACACGGAGCCGTTATCTTACACATTTTAGCGATACTGAGTGACCTCACAGCCGCAAGAGACACCTTACAGTTGCACGGTGTGTGTTTCTGCACGAGTGTTATTGACACTTTCTCTTTTGCTCGATATTTCAGGACGCGTTTAGCGGTTGTCAGATCTTGCCATGCTCACACAAGGTTCACAGGGAGTGTGCCATTGCAATGGTACAGAATGGCGTGTAAGTATGCTTAAATAGTCAAAAACAACTGTTCGTAACCTTTAAAAGAGTATGAATGCCCGATGGTGAGTTTTAACAAATATTGGCGATAAATGACAATGATTATAAATCATCAAAAAAAGTTTTTAAAAGTCTGAAAAGGTATAAGGACGTCAGTCCTTCGGGGAGACGATGCTGTCATCGCTAAGCCGTTTCCGTAATTACCAATTGGATTATAAGCTTTTCTTTTTGGTGCCATGAAAACGCTATTTTTCTCTGGGCATGCAAACATGTAACCAACATTCTATAGGCGAAAAAGCTCAACGTTATATCAAGCAATGAGGTACAGTGATTGAAGGCAAATTATGCTTGATTGTCGAATGCAGAATTCCTTTTGTTTTCTTCACCCTGTTGTTGTTGTTGTTGAAAACCCTTAGCGGCCTCTCGACCAATCTAAAAGCAAAACTAATATCAATTGCGACTTGGTCAAAGGTTTTCCCGTGCATCAGGCAATTTCCTCGCTTCACTTTGAGTTCTTCCTAGATTGGAGCAATTTCAATCGAGTTTCAAAAGTAACCGGGATTGCATTGACTTTCCTACACTACGCTCCATGATTGTTCTAGGAAACTCACGTCCGCCTCTCAACCGATCAGATGCAAAACTAAACCCATTCGAGACTTGGTCACATTTTTCCCCCCCTTAGATTTCTCTCTGGCTCCTTGTGAAATTGTCCTTTTTCTGATTGGCGCTTTTGATTCTTTGGTTTTAGTTTTTCGAACCTCGATCGCAAGTCGCTCTAATAACTTACACCGAATAGATATCTGACAGGTTTTAATTGTTTCTTTTGCCTTTAGACGTAATTGTCCAATATGCCGCCACCCTTTGTATGGACAGCTCCAGCAGTAACCTCATGAAACAGAGGATCCAAGCCAAGATGGCGAATACAGGCTAGAATTCTTTATTACCGAGTGCTTATACTATTAGCATCACGGAATGTGTACTTTGCGTTGATTGTCAACTTTTCATCTAATGTTGACAAGCTGAAGATAATGAGAGAGATGCTGTCACTTATTTTGTAATCAATTTGGATTTAGCACTAAAAGGAGAATGAAGGTAGAATATTTTTGCCAGATTGCAAATGCTTCAGAAAGTTTTAACAACACTTACAAGATAAGAAAAATAGCAAACAAAATAAAATGCTCACGCCTGATGAAAAGCAAAAATAGATGAATGGTTAAGGTTACTTCCCACCTTCACAAGCCGATAAAATCGTTTTTTCTTTTATCTGACTAACTTGAAGTCAGAAATTTTCCCTGACGTCTACAAAAAAATTTGAAAATACCTCAAAAAGCGTCCAAGTTATGTAGAAAAACGTAGCTTCAAATGAGTTACTTTATCAGAAAGGTGTCATAATCTCGTAAATGGGCGAATTCCCTGAGGAAAGTTTTCGCGGCAACAGCTCATCTCGGAGTTCGTATTTCTTTCATTATTTAAGTACCAGCCTTGATACAATAATATCAACAATCGCCTCGAATCGTAATTCTTAAATCATAAAAACCTACCCAAGGGAAGTCATTTTAGTAATAAGGGTATTCCTTAAGCTGTCTATCGATTTTTTGTCTTAGTTTTCAGCACATTTTCCGACTCTACCCTTTTTTCTGCGGGTTTTTCCTTTCCCTTTGGCAACTTTGCCCATTATTGTGTCGTCCTCCTCAACGCTCCACCAAGCGAGATTGAAAAAAAGTGTCTGAAATGCAATAATGCGTACCGCTTAATGAAAATATGTCCTGGTGTGCCAATTAACGAAAATTGACCCAACTGGCCCAACTGGGACAAGTGATCCAACTGACTCAACTGACCTAACCGACCCAACGGACCCAACGGACCCAACGGACCCAACGGACCCAACGGACCCAACGGACCCAACGGACCCAACGGACCCAACGGACCCAACGGACCCAACGGACCCAACGGACCCAACGGACCCAACGGACCCAACGGACCCAACGGACCCAACGGACCCAACGGACCCAACGGACCCAACGGACCCAACGGACCCAACGGACCCAACGGACCCAACGGACCCAACGGACCCAACGGACCCAACGGACCCAACGGACCCAACGGACCCAACTTGCCCAAGTGACCCAACTGGCCCAAGTGGCTCAACTGACCTAAAAAAACCCAACTGGCCCAAGTGACCGTACCCAAATTACCCAACTGCCCCAACTGGCCTAACTGGGCCACGTGACCCGAATGACCCAAGTGGCCCAAGTGACGCAATTGACGCAACTGACCAAAATGACCCAACTGGCCCAAGTAACCTAACTGGCCCACGTGACCTAAGTGGCCCAACTGACCCAAAAAAATCCAACTGGCCCAAGTGACCCAACTGACCCAACTGGCCCACGTAACCCAAGTGACCCAACTGGCCCAAGTGACCCAAGATGATATGTAACTGATCCAAAAGATCCAACCGACAAAAATGACCCAAATAGCCCAACCATGAACCAATGCTGGCATTTTATTATCGAAGCATTCATCATTTATCAAATTATTTAGCTGTTACGCTATTATTCGGTTCACCGATGTCGAATGAGTTGTCAGTAATCGGATCCTTCGGTTTGCGCAAAGATTTCTGGGATCGCCACGGGGCAAAAATTGCAACTCGCCAGAAGGTAATATATGGCGAAAGGTTGTTTGACGTCTTTTGGAAACTGTACGATACGTTAAATTTTCCTATTTGATTGAAATTTATAAGTGATTTCATTTATCTATACATAACCAAACAACATGTATGCGGCACGTGTTTTATCGCCCCATATATGGTACTGTTCCACGTGCTTACAATGGGACGTTGAGTGTGTGTTTTTTTCGAAGAAGCCGAGAGTTGTGAGTGGGAGTTAACCGAAACGTTGTGGCAAAATCATGAAATCAAGTGAATAAGCTGGTACAGCTTTTTCACGTTTTCGACACGTTCAAAAAAACCGACTTTGGAGAGAGATCAACGATTTTTATCGCATATGATTAATAATGATGATGATGCGAGGAAAGTGTAAGTTTTTGTCGAAATTACCACCAAATATGTTATAAAATATACCGATAAACTTCTCTCCTTACGTAAGGTCTATTGTGAAATCGTCATTGTGTAATGGTTCCGACATGTTACAAGATTAGCCATAAATCACCAAAATAACTCATTTGAGACTTTTCGGCTGTATTTATGTATGTACAGCCTGTTTTTACACTTGTTACCGTATTGAATAAAAAAATTACGACGTCTGGAAATTATACCTCCTCAAAGGAGCGAAGTCGTTGTCAGCGAAGATGTTTTTACCAGACTGTTGCTCTCTAGAAGGATAAAACAAGCGATGAAATCCCTAGGTCATATGGTAGTTTGTTTGAGAAAAATCCAAAGTTTGCAGCTGCAACTTTTCTCCTTGAACTCTTTGGAAGATCTTGTTATAAAAAGCAAGATAACGCGAACTCCGACAGAAACTGTGGCATCAATTCAGTTGTGCATCACTCCTTAGCGACCTAGTCTTACCTACTCATCGTCTCAGAAGGAAGGTTTAAGTTTTTAGCCAATTATCAACGCTGATTCTTTTTCATTGATCACAAAAAAGAAGTAATGTAGGTGTTTAATCACTTGAATGTACCACGCTAATATTGAATGCTCAAGCACACCATTTCAATCTTCAGCTGCCTCGAGGTAGCTGTTGTAGCTAGCGATCTTTTGTATTACTAAGCAGAGAAAAAGCTGAAAGTAGACTTAACAGATGTCAAAAAAAAAAGACTGAGAAGGCTTTGTTAAGTTATTGCTTGGCGATTTATGGTTTGCATTTCTGAATTTCGAGGCTATTTAAACCTTGCGTTTAAAGTATTTACTCTATTGTTGAATGATGCCTTGAGAATAAGATTATGCAGCCATTCTGCTCTTGCTGCGGCATTCGATACGCGAAAGGTTCGATAAATTATATTTTTATCGTAGACTGATGTTATTATACTTTCTTCTAATATCTAGTTTGCTAAGATTTTGTTGAATATAACACGGGTACGAATTTCTTCCGATGGACACCCGCAAAGGTGGGAAGTAACCTTAAAGTAAGATTGACCAATAGGTCACTAGTCGACACAGGCAACCGATTATTGAGAATGATTCTGCTCTTTTATCACTAAACTGAGCTTAAAGATTGTAGGCCATGAAAACTACTCCTTAATTAACGGACAATGGCAACGGAAAGGGGGGTGGGTAGGGGAAACTGGCTAACGAGGATGTGCCTCTGGATGGGGCCGCATTTTCATGACTGAATTAAATATAATGGAGTTGCTCAAGAAATTATAATCTCTTGAGTTACTAAAAGGGGATTGCATATTTTTTGGGGGATTTTAGAGGTAAGATATCTCTGGTAAGTAGAAATTTAAAAAAAATGGAAAGTTCCGCGGTTACAAAGTTCTTACCATACTACCAGGAGAGACTAAGTTGGCGTCTTCGAGGCCATTTTAGCGAGTTCTCCATTTCTAACGTTTATTACTCATTAGGAGTAGTAAACCTAGAAATGGAGAACTCGCTAAAATGGCTTCTTTTCAACACAGTAAGCGGTCAGACAACAAGCGATGAACCGTGGAAGTAAGGTGAGGTATTTTTCTTGAGAATTTGACTGTACTTTTACTTCCAAAGAGAGGTCGTTGATATTCCCATAAAAACTCTTATATTTTCGCCATGACTCTTATTTTGCAAGATGATCATCTTGTAGATGGAGCTTGAGCTGCCTGTGGTGTAAGTGACAGGACGCGTCATGTGTGCGCGCTGTTGTCTCGCATTTGGCCGAGTTAACAGATGCTTTTTTTACGAAAATGTATGACCGATGTCTAGTTCATATCTCCAATTTTGTCATAATTTTGATCAATTGGTAACATGACTTCGTGTCGTCCAATTCTGACCGTAATCATACTCCTGATTAACAAAACGGACTCCCGTTTCGCAGTCGTCCGATTTTGTTAATCGCTCGTATGATTACAGACCGAATTGCACTCCACTCGGTCCTATTACTATTATTAAATCCGTTCGGCTGTGTGTCTAAACGGGAGGCTTACATCGACTTCGGTAAAAAGTAAGATGGTAAAAATGGAAAAGTGCAAGAGTTATGGCTCTTTTGTAGTCACGTGGCCATGAAAGACTGTAAAATACTACACCAAGCCTTCACCTTCTTCTAGCCTTCTTCAAGTAAGGCTACGCGCGAATATGAAACATTTCCCTGTGGTGCAAAAAATGTCTTGGTGATCTGTTGGTTAACTCAAAGTTTGCACCATAGTATGACACTTCGAGATTGGTATTTCTTAGGGTCAGCGATTCTTTATCGCTGGGAGAGGGGAGTAGGAGGTTTTTTAGAAGGTATCTCATGGCTTTCAGGGGGAAAGGAGGGGGATCAGTCATCGCCAACAAAGTATTGAAAGGAGGACGGTACAAAAGGAGGGGGGAATCATGGGGGATTGATGATGTGGGAGTCAAGTAAATTTTATCGTGACACAACCAAAATCCAATGGATAATGACCGGTCCATTATGGCTCCATTATAGAGGTCACATGTTATATTTCTACCGGCTCTTATCAATAGAACGACTGAAGCTTAAAATTAAAGCCTACTTGCCATCGCCTATCAGGAGACTCCTAGTAGATATATTCCCCTTCTAAGTTATTACTGTCGTTTGAGACTAATCTGAATCCAAAACACCTCTCTGTCACGGTTTAATTATCGCGGGAACACCATATTACCCTATGCTGCTTTGTTCGTAACCTTAGGGCAGGAGTCAGGTAGCTCTCTGCTTACTGGTCACTATCTCTTTTTCACCTCACCCTTGGGTCTGGGAAGGAGTGATAGCAACATCTTTCCCAGGGTCCTCTTACTTCGACCTTTGAGGAAGGAAGAGGGTTGTACCGTTGTACTTATTCCCTTTGTTGTAGATATGTCACAGTTGTGAGGGTTGTCCCTAAATCCTATCGGCTAAAGATATGCCCGAGGAGCATTAGTAAAGAGTTTCCGAGTCGGGTGATTATCGGACATTGTCGGCAATATCAATACTATTCCAGTAACACCATTTGCGATTTACCGACAGTCATCAAGCAACGTGATTGAACTAGACATTATTACTTGCCTTGCATGTGAAGAGTACATTTTTTCGCTAAATTTTGTATGGCTGTTTCCTTCACCCTCGTCGATCTTAAGTTTCTCGTTAAGCAGAGTTTTAGCTTAACACTGTAGCCGCCAAGACCTACGCTTGCAAAGGTAAACAAAACTTATGAATAGTATTGCCACTATAATACCCTTGTTATAGTGCTACTGGCTATAGAGATCCCCGAGATAAAGTTCTAATTGTCTTCAGTTATACCTCTAGCCGGTAGGATCTCAGGAGGTTAACCGTTAATATGGTAAAACATGGTTAACTAAGGGTATATGGGTGTTAACGTGGTAGAACATGGCTTAATTGGGGTAGAATAGGCCCATGTTTTACTACAGTTAGCTTCACATTTCACTTTTTTTATACTCCAGATTAGTCTTACACTCCTTTTTTAGTCTTACACTCATTTTTTCAAGAATACTTTAACATTTATTTATTTTTATTTGGTCTTGTACTTCTAGCTAGTAGGATCTGAAGGGGCTTAGAAAATACTACCGGCTGAGGGTACAGCTTGCATATTTAATCGACTTTGCCTAATTTTTACTATGGTTTGCTTCACATTTGAATTTTCTGCACTCCAAATTAGTCTTTCATTCCTTTGAATCACTTTTTCTAAGAATACATATAAATTTATATATTTCTTTATTTGGTCTTGTACCTCTACCTGGTAGGATCTTAAGAGGCTCAGAAAATACTACAGGCTAGAGTTACAGCTTGCATATTTAGTCAACTTTGCCTAAATTTTACAATGGTTTGCTCTACATTTTACTTTTAAGCATTACAACTTAGTCTTACACTCCTTTGAATCACTTGAATTTTATTTGGTTCCTCTAGCTGGTAAGATCTTTGAAGGCTTACTAGAAAATACAAGAGGTACAGCTTGCATATTTGATCGACTTTGCCCAATTTTTACGACAGTTTGCTTTGAATTTTACTGTTGGGCATTCCATTTAGTCTTACACCTCATAAGAATAACTTTTTTCATGAATATCCTCTTGTTCCTCAGTCATGTACCTCTAGCTGGTAGGATCTTAGATGGCTTAGAAAATACTACAAGTTAGAGGCACTTCATGCATATGAGGTGAATTTAATTCATATCATTTACTTTTTGATTTATGGAAAAACCTTTCTACATGCCATGTTAGTCTTATACCATTGTGGAGTCACTCCATCTAGGTATATTTTCATGTTTTGCAGTCTTGTTCATCTGGCTAGTAGGATCTTGGATTACTCAGAGAACACCAACAGCCAGAGGAGCAGCTTATGCATGTGTAAGCTTGAAATCATTAACATTGTTTGTTTTAAATAAATTTCAAGTACATAAATTTTAAAGTAAGTATGATTTGTATTTTCTTTGGTTGGGGATTTATTTCATTACAAATCAAACCAGTTTTAGATGAATTTGACTTGAAATTCATGCTGGACTTGAACACGTCAATCAGATTTACTAAAATTTGTCTTGTAATACTCTGGATAAGTATGAGTGGAATTTCTTAGAAAGGAACAGTCTCTATTTTCATGACATTTGTGTGTGATTAGAAGTATTGTTGACAATGCCAACCATTGTCTGAAATACTAAAATCAAGTCATCTTTAGGTAGTCATAGGATAACATGACTTTAATTCACCAAATTGACATTTTCCCTTTGTATTTTCAATGATATTTAGCAGCATGTATGACTGTAAGAAAATCTTATGGCAAATTATTCTTGAAAATATAAAATGGTCATCTACTGTTTATATGTATGTATATATATATATATTGTGGGAGGAAAAAGACAAATGAACTACAAGTTCATCCCCACAGACCTGTTTCATGGCTGCCTACTCATCAGAGGATTTAATGAGAATAGTCTTTACCATCGCTTATATACAATATAATCTAATTTATGCAGCACGAAATTTAACAGTTTAGTTGTTGCATAGGCCAGGGCTTTGTTTCTGTGGTGGCAAGAAGACACGAGTTCATTGAACTTAGATATTACTCCAATACCTCTTGAAACCTTCTTGCTCAATTCGTGTAAGTATGGTTTCCAGTTCAAATTGGAGTCAAAAATGAGTCCTAAATATTTAACTTGATTATCAGAGTTAACAGATGTATTGGAGATACTAAGATTCAACTTATGAGCATTTCTTCTTTGTGGAGAATGGAATACCACAAAGCTGGTTTTTCAATGTTCAAAGATAATTTCTTATAGCCACTGGCTTACCTTTTCTAATTCTACATTTAAGTTGGTTTCTAGATTTAGAATGTTAGGACTATTAAGAAACAAGTTTGTATCATCAGCAAAAAGGTTTGATTCTAAGATATTGGAGCATTCAGGCATATCATTTATGTATGTCTAACTGGGGTAGACCCTGATTCTCCATTGTTAGCTAAAGGAATTCTGTGGCTGATCGAAATATCTGTATCATTAATATAGACATCAATCAACGTTCCAATTTTCTTCACAATTTCGCTTGTATCCTCTCCAGATGTCACCGGAACTCCTCTTATTTCGAGACATTCGCGCCTTGTGTGCTAAGCTTGATCATCGATGGCGGAACGTAAATCGTTGATCTCTTTGGTCATTTTAGCAGAATCACGTCTCAAGCGATCGTTTTCTTGGGCTAAAGTCTTCGTTTGTTTCTCCAGATTATCCATCTTAACTTTCATTATTTCAAAAGATGAATTGAAGAAGGTCATCGATTCCTTGTAAGCCTTCAGCTTTGCGTCTAAGATGGATGACAAGGTGGCCGTCAGTTTGGATTCTAAGACTTCATCCAAAATAGATCTCAACATCGCCTCCATTTTAGATTTTTCTCGAGCCATCTAATCAGTTTACCATTCTGGTGCAACAGGTGATCAGGAAATTACGAAAAATCTTAAAGAAAATTGACTGTAAGAGTAAAATTAACAGAGCTAAGAAATTTACGCCATGCTCGCATGACAACCGTTTAAAACAAGAAAAATCAAACAAGGAAAAATTACCCCTTTTAAAATAATATTCCCTCAACAAAGAGTCGCTTAAAATGCACTGTACTTATATCAGTGTCTCCTATTTCTTTTAAGTGTATCTGCTTGGAGGTAGGTTCAAATTCCCAAAAGAAAGTACTTTAATATTTTACTTATTTTAAAATCCTTAAAAGAGAAGAATAACTATGAAGTTAAGTGAATTGAAATAAATTTATTTTGTTGTGCTGCACTGTGCACCAGGAACATGCATCCAATCCCCTCCCAAAACACTCAACAAAAACAGCATGATACCAGCACAAGCTGTGTTATAACCCAATAATAAATAACTTTAAAACACAATTGCAATTCACATCTAACTATAGGGATGTTGCACAGGACCATATTCATTACCCTTAAATATTGAACCAGTACAGCGATTCATGGCTGCCTTCTTTTGATGGTGATTGGATAAGGATAAACAAATGTTCTTGAAATTCAGTAATTTCTTAGGGTCTTTAAAGTATTGATGTTTTGCCTCAAAACGCATGGCCCACAAGTTTATCAGTGGACTAAGAAGAAGTAAAACTTTGGGAAAATGTACAAGATAGTGCTGCTTTGGAGTAAAAGGCTGTTCAGGAAAAAGTTCCTTTAAGAGTCTCAAATATTCAGCAACATTTTGCTTTAGCTGTGCTATGGTTTCAAGGCTAACAACTGATGCAAAGCAAATTTCTGTAATGTCACTTAACAAAGTGTGTAGCTCCTAGTGGCTGTCAGAAAAGTTAATACTGCATCCAACAACAAACGAAAAAATGGGAAAGAGTAAATAACATTTTGCTGCGCCTTGATTCAGAGTTGTGTAACACTGAGATCTTTTTCACGTATATAGTTGGGCTTGTCAGTTATTTCCATGTAACTATATGGGAAACTTTGATTGGCACAGTTTACCGTGGCAAGATTGGTTACTTTAGTGTCAATATAATGTTTTATAAGAGCTTGTAATGTTAGGGTAGAACTCCCTCTAAGAGAACATGCATAACATCTGGAGGAGTTTGTTTAAACATATCGAAGTGTGGAAACTCGGTGAGGATACTTTTCCTGTTAATACTGTAACTGGTTCTGTAGTGGTCCTTAAGGGTCTGAGTGGCTCCACTGATCACACTACATTGCTCTAAATGCCTCTTGAGTGTTCACGCCTCAAAATCTTCCCCTCTGAATCCATTTTGTATGGCATAATAATCAGCATTACAAAATTTGCACTTTCTGAGTGCACCACCCATTGATTCCTTCAAACTAATGGCTTGGTGAGCAGCTGAATTATCTGCTACATATGCCACCAAAGATGCTCTTATACGTATTGTCTCACCATCCTTCAAATCGATTGGATACCCATCTGGCACACTGAGTTGCTTCAAGTCATTCAGGAAAGATTCAAGAATGATGACAAACCCATTGGTAGCAATATCCTCAGACTTCACCACTGCAAAAAGATTGATGGTATCAAGAACACTGCGATATTTCTTGGGCAAACAACTTACCAAGTAGTAAAACAATAAAAGCTTGTATTTCTTTCCTCTAGTGCCCACAGCATTACACAGTTCTATTTGATCACTATACAGAATAAGTTCCACTGTGTTTCAATCAATAGCAAAGAGAGGGTGATTGGATAAGGCTACACCATCTTGAAGAAATTCCAGTTTGCTATCAGCTCGCTTACAGTTAGACTGCAACAGTGCTTTTCTCAACTTTTTATCAGACAATAAAGCTTCCAAGTTCTTCATGAAAAAAATAAAACAATAGGTGTGCTTCTTGAACAACTGATGATTCTTTTTTCTGCCATGTTCTCTGGTCCTTGAAAGTGTTGTTCCTAGAGTCCTCTGTACTGGTTGCTACGACAAAATAGATAATGAAAATCATTCAAAGTCATTTATATTTTTAGAAGTGAGAACTCATTACATTCCAATGCTCATTCTTTCATATTTTTTTTCCAAAACTGTCTCCCTTCAGTTTCTTGTTCTCCATTTTTAATAGTTCTAAATAATATTTTGTATTTAATGACCTATATACCAGTGAGAGTACCCTTGGATGTGGAAAATACATGTATAAATAATAAACAGAATGACCATTGCTTTTTTTCAAGTGACAAATGTCTCAAAAGCAAACAGTTTGCTGAATATTTGGGAGGTAAGCAGAGAGTGCTAACCATAAATTACTCTTAATTTAAATCCTCAAAGGTACATACCACAACATTGAAGTGTTGGTTGATAAATTGATTTCTCAGCCAATTGCTGTGGCAGTGTTTAAATGGGGGTGAAATCACTTAAGTCCAAACAGTCACTAATATCAATTCTGTTTTCCAATTTCCTCTTGACTCTTTGGCCAGCTAACAACACACTGTCCTGACAGATTTGTTCAAGGAACAAACAAGCATGTGTTTTCACCTGGTTATCCAATTCATTTGGATCGATACCCGTTTCATGAACAGTAGCTAAATTTCCAAATTCGTCAGCTTCCTCCACAGCCAAATCAGCTGAGTGTTGCAAACTGTCCTCGTTTCCTTGTTCAGTTGGCACTATAAAGTAATTCCCGTGCACTGGAGCAAGGGTGTGACCTTTTTATACATCGTCGTGCTTTCTATGTACGTGTTTTTAAAAACTGTTGTACTTAAGGAAAACTTTTTGGAAGCCTGATGAGACCCAGAGACCACAGATAACTTGAAATTCGTCGTCTGAGTGTACTAGATTCAGGTGAGTGAACAAAATTCGCAAAGATATACTGCTGAATACGCACGAAAGAGACGCACACTTCCACGTTTTTTTCGGAAGCCTCGTTCTCAATTTCTTCAGAAGGAGACTTGGACCAAGATTCTACTTGACGGCCTCAATTTCAAGATCGCGTAGGGTTTTCATCGAAATACGGCGGGTTTGCGGAGAGGGAGGAATTGATGACACTTTCACCTGCAGATTTGGCGAAAAAAACTTTAAGAAGTTGGGTTACCAAAAACGCTAACACAATGTTTAGAAGGTAAGGATTGTGTTGAATGGTATTTCTCCTTACTGCTTATCATTTAAGTTTTTTATCAATCTTGTAATTTCGCGCCTTTCTTCGTCAACAGCAAGAATGTAACAAGACCGCAAACAAGGATGTAAAAGGGTCAACGTTATTATTGTTTGACCAGGAAGACATCAGATATGTGTTCAGTGACCTCTCCTTGGAAGATAGAATTTACCTCAGAAATTTCCTTTGAGAAATAGTAAGTTTCAAAGGTGAGACTTCACGTTCGCATAATTCTTGTAATTCGTGTCAATCCTCATCATTTCTATGTTATTTCCCCGCCATTTTAGCGCCGTCTGAAATAAAACTGAATACACTTATGCTGTAAATTTAACGTATTCTGTTAAACAGAACTGGAAAAATATCCCGTGAGTGCATAAAAGATATGTTCCTGATAGAAACTTTTCTCTTACTAATTGCGGGCGACCAGCGGAGCCCGCAATCCTAATCTCAACATTGGTTACAAACGCATGCGCGGCAGTTATATAGCCTTGCAGTGACTCGAATTTAGCAAAAAAAGTCGTCCTTCCAAATATTTGTCCCAAGGGACACTAAGAACCAATGAAATGAAAGGACGTAATTTGAGCATAGGCGCTTTGACCACGCGAGACAAACACGAAGCAGCAGTAATTTGAGCACAGGCGCTCTGACCGCTAGAAACCAACACTAAGCAGAAGACAATTCTCACCAAAGCATAGCTGTTTCACGTTCCATAGTCAATGATCTTTAATGTAGTTGAAGGGCTCAAATAATCTGTAAATTTCGCCTTCTTGAAGCTAAGAATGTCAAGAATCACGTGCAGTTCATGCAGAAGTGGCGGTCCATAAATTAGAATGCACACAACACAATTTTATCACGTGGACGACGTCTATTTCGTCGAAGAATCACGTGCAGCTCATGCATAGCTGGCGCGCCGTCCAATCAAAATCGAGCGTGTGAACTTGTGTGATCGGAACGTTTCCTGTTCGTGTCTGTTGTTGTCGGGTATCGAAATCTTCCGGCCATTGCGAGAGATCTGTGTTCCTCCTTGGCGTTGTTGAACTGTAGAGCGAGAGCTGTGTGTCCATTGACCTTGGCGTTGATCCATTGAAGACTTGAACTGTAGAGCGATCGAGAGCTGTGCGTCCATTGACCTTGGCGTTGATCCATTGAAGACTTGAACTGTAGAGCGATCGAGAGCTGTTACAAACGCATGCGCGGCTGGGAAAACAATCACCCACACTATGCAACCCTTTATTGCGCTGCAAATATAAATGCCCAAAATGGAAAAAGAACACAACGCCACTGTTTTACAATGAAATCGTTAACCTCAGTGAAACAAATCATGCATAGCCCTCGCACGCACTTCCTAACCTGTGGTTATTACTAGTTAGTAAGAATTATTTATTTGGTAACCCTGTGATTTTACAGGAGACAAGAGGACCTTTCAGACGAGGAAACACGCAGAAGCACTGGAACTGATCCATTTTCAGTCACAATGTCATGGCCAAGATCATCTCCAACGGCGTCAAGCCTAAGTACTTACAGTGTTTCAAGTGGAAATTCTGACTCTAGTTCCAAATCTCTCTCTATATTATCTCTTTGTTGTTCAGAAACTGCCCTTGAGGAAGGAGGTTCAAAACAAGCTGGAAATTCTAACACGTGTTTGTGTAAACCTGGTGATTTACCTGCAGAATTTAAGCTACCCAATAAGTTTGGGAAAAAATTGATCAGACTTTGAAAGAGTGCAAAAAGCCAGGTTCAGTGCCACCTGGTGTGATGAAAAGGGTTGTTAGACAGGTAGCTGATCATATTGAAGCAGAGAACCCTTAGCCATCCAAAAAGACCCTTGAGTGGGTTGCCTGGACTTACTGCTTGAAGTATCCTGGGCTGACGACAGCTAATCCCCTGGACATCTTTGGTGGAAATGCTGAATCAAACTGACCAAATCTTTCAGGAACTAATGTTCCTGCATGCAAAGCTATTTGCTTTACTGTCATTGCCTCCAAGGTAGTGCTTGCAGAAAAACTTAGAAGAACGCTAGAAAATAAGTGCTACCAGGATAAGCGCAAGTCAGTGGAAGGTGATCATTTTCAATTTGAGGCTAAAAAGGAGAAGGAAATAATTTTTCTTGCTGAGCAAAACAGGGGTCATTTCAAATCTTTATTTTGGCTGAACATATTGAAAACTTCTGGGACATTAATTAGCACAATTTTGCATTTTATGTAATTACCATCCACAATGTTAAATGATAAGGGTAATGAAATTTTGTTATCTGTCTATCCTCTGAAGGAACTCCTTTAAATGTGGATGATAATACTAGTTTGGAAAGGCACAGTCACCGCCTAGAGGAAGAGTTAAAGAAAAAATTCACCAAATGAGGTAGTGAAAGAACTGATGACTACTGAGTTCATCAAGCATAGAATTTTCATTAATCAACTTGACGTCAGGACAAGAGTTAGGGTGACCTTGACAAAATATCCTATTCTTGCTAATGGATATCAAGTACACTGAATTACTGTATGCTAGTTATCTAACTCATGATGAGTACACAAGGCTGATAAAATGCTTTTGTGATTTTGTCAGTCAAGAGGCATACATGTAATATATGTTTTCCATTTGTGTTATAGAAATTACCATTTCAAAATGAATGATCATGACCTGTTTTTATGGTCCTTCAAATGCCATAAGCTGTTTGCAACATGACCAATTACTGATACTTACATGTGTGTTTGATACAAAAAAATCCTGAAAACTATTTTCTTATTGTTTTCTTTAACTTTCCAGGTAGAAGAAGAATTAAAAAGAATTTTAAAATTTAAAAGGGAAGTTACAGGACAAGAAGAACAAATGCTTTCTAACTGGAGAAGGCAAGGAGCCAAATTAAAAGCATTTCCTTCTCAGAGGTTCAGTCATTGGTAAAGTACCAGAACAAATGTCATGGTGTAAAAAAATTAAAAAAATTGCCAGAAGGCTGGCTAGTTTACAGTATTATGACAACAAACTCCTGTCTGTCTGAAAATGTTTAAGACATTCTTTCAGGTCTGTCTGAAAAAGGAACAATGAATAAAGGGTGGCAGGCCAAAAATGCTATGAACTTTTTGACTGGGAGCATGTCATCTCTCCTCTGAGGTCTATGTTTTACATAGCTCTTCTATCTGATGTCTGTGTTTAGAGCTGACCATCTAATCATGTGTAATTATTGCCCGCAGTGTGGCAATGTTGATTTATGCAACATGGCAGCAGTGTCAACTTCCTTTTTGTAATAATATTTGTTGCATCTAACAAAATTTGTTATTAATTTTTGCATTTTACTGATACTGATATGCTGAATAACTTCAGTAAAGTATTTCCAACAGTCTGTAAAAAGCAAGGTAAAATTGTATTCCTAGTATGTTTCTTTATGAGAACTGAGTGTACAAAGTTTAGCTGATTGTACTTTAAAGAACAATAATTAGAAATGTCTCCTTGTGAATCATGTCCTTCTTTGCATTATACCTCAAGGAAAGTCCAACATATTTGTTTGCAGCAAAAGAACCAACATTCTAGTCCATGGTGATAAAGACTGTGGAGATGATAATCCAAACAGCCCATACAGTCTTATGATTGGAGAACAATTATACTGTCAAGTTCCCAAAAGTGACAATGCATGAGGCCACTGTTTAATAGTCCATTTTACAGCTGTGTGCTCGGTTGCCAAGTCTTTGTACAGGAATGAGGCTAAGGGTGACCTTGTTATGATACAAACCTTGCTGCTTTTCAAATGCAAATTACTTTGGTATCATGCAAACTAGATACTGGTCTCTATCACAACAAGGTCACCTTCAGCCTCACTCCAAATCAAAGGCTTGGCAACTAAGTACACAACTGTAAAATGGCCTATTCGACTTCTTACCCTGTATTACATTTACCACTTTGAATACCCAGAAAGATTCAGAAACATTTATTTTTATCTACAACAGTTTGTTTTAGGAGATCATAAGCTCCTTTGTGCACCACGGGTCATAAATAGCTACCACGAGTCAATTCAATCATATTTGGTTTTTGCCAACTCACCCTTGCGAACTGAATTCCCAGTTTTCTGGGAATTCCTAGGAATTCCTAGGAATTCTCAAAAATTCCCAACTATGCAAATTAACTCTGATTTAAAAAGCTTGGAATTACTGGGAATTTCTGGGAAAGGAAGACTCCAGTTTTGTGAGGACTTGGAATTCCTTGGAATTCCTAGGAATTCTCAGCTATACAAACTACCTATAACTATTTGTGGACCAGAGTTCCAACGCACCTCTGTAATCGCATATAGTTACTTCTGTCTCTTGTACAAATTTTTCTCCTTTGTAAGACGCACTCTACTCTGTTGTCACCACTGCTTTAAGTTCAGTGGAAACGACTGACTGAGGAATCGAGATGGCGGTGTTGGAACGTGTTGCTGAACGCTTGCTACGGTCAAGCTTTGTAGATTTAGGTACCGGTACACTCGGCCACAAATCGTGCATTTGTAATACGATCGATTCTTGTCGATTATTTCTACATAGAGTGAGCTCAAATCATTATTTATATCACCAAGGTATCCATCGTCTAGAAGCAGAGAACCGGTCGGAGAAGTCAGATCTTCTCTCAACAATGCAATCCAATGACAAGTCCTAATCGATCCACGTGATCATGCCTGTGATCGGAAACAAAGAAGACTCCATTTGGCGCTCATCTTTGAATGTACTTTTCATCGGTTGATCGCTTATCTCAACTGTTTTGCTTAATATAACATCCATAAAGATAGCTTTTATTGTGGTTTAATGGGAAAACGAGAACAGCGTGAGTGTTGTAAAAGAAAAGAAAGTCGTTGGCGCCGTGGAGTTAAAAGAAGTGACAACAGTTGACATATTGATCGGTACAAACAAGGGTCGAGTGGCCATCTATAAAGCTACGATTTTGAAAGTTTGTGGTGAGTAAAAATTGCGATATTCGTTACGTGATCAAAATCTTAATAATCTCAATAAAAGAATAGATGTAGCGGGTTGAATTAAGCTTACATAACGCTCGGCGCAACTGAAACTAGAATAATTCTGAGAATCGAATCGGTCACTTGCATGCCGCAGTTTCTTAAGCTTATGCTTTTTAATCAAATAAACCTATCAGTAAGGTTTCAAGATTCCTTTAGTCAAGTTTGGGAACATTCAAGATTCATAATAGGAACTGTTATTAAACAAACCTTGTTACATAAAGAGGCCCTCCTTGATAAAAACAAAATAATGTATTCAGCCCCTTTAATAAAATCTATGAGAGAGATGTACTAACTCCAATATAAAAGTCACTCAATATAACAGAGATTTCTCAATTTGAGAATCCAATGAATGCCCTTTTCCTTATAGCCATCTTAAAGGCCTGGTCTGAGCCATTTAATATATATATTTAAATGTAATATTTTTTTTCAAATTCAGATGTCTTTGAATCCAGATACAAAATGGTCAAGCTTCTTGTAGACAACTTCATTCAAGGCCAACTCATTGTGAGCCCAGGGAAAAAATACAAACAGCAGCTAAGTTTGCAGTTTAGGATAACTTCACTCTAATTTATTGTTACATTTACAACAAGACTTTAATCAAAAAATCAATTTTATTTATCTGTAATTAACCCCTTCACTCCCAAGAGTGCTTGGTTTTCAAATATAATTTGAGATATTGTATTTTATGGAAAAAAATCAACAGATTTGTCAAACCAAATTTAATGATTGAGTAGGACTATTTTATATGAATAACTGTAATTGAGGATTAATCCATATGAAGTTTTCAAGAAAGGAAAAATAAATCAAATTCCATCTTAATATTACCACAAATTGATGTTAATAATTAATCAAAAATATTTTACATGTAAGCCTTAATTAAGCTTCTAAATAAATTTCATTGAATACTTGAATTTAAGCTGGGTTTTTTTTAATTTAGAGTATTTATTTTATATCATTAGCCTCAAATTTTTGCTTAAAAACTCCCAGTAATTCTTAAACATTCCTAAAAATTCCCGAAAATTCCCAGAAATTCCTAGGAATTTTTTAGATTTACAGCTTTTCAGGGAAAGTCATTGGTTCTCTGATTTGGAATTCCTAGGAATTCCAAGTCCTGTTGGCTATAAACTTGGAATTTCTGGGATTTTCTGGGAATCTCTGGGAATTTCTGGGAATTTCTAGGAATTTCTAGGTTTTTAGAACCAGAGTTGTTATGGTTGGGAATTCCTAGGAATTCCTAGGAATTCCCAGTCCGAATTTACCGTGAAAATTCACACCTTTATTCCTAGGAATTCCAAAAGCCATTTCGCAAGGGCACTTTGACTAAAGTAGTATCAGAGAAGTCCCTATTGATAAAGGTAGACTATTGCATTCACCTACATTGAGAGAATGCACCAGTGTCACACCATAACTTTGATTTTTAAACTTGCTTTGAAAGCAACTTTATGTTCAAAGTTCTTTTTACAGCTTTATGTTTGTAGTGTGACCTTCAAGAATGTTCTAGAAGTAGATGAGTCATGCTGCGTCATCCATGAATCAATATATAAATAGAATCTGTTGTAATGTTACGGAACGTTCTAGATCCTCAAGCATACCTGTAAAAGCCGAGCTTGTAACTACATATAGAGAGTAGTTTAGTTGCTGGTATAGCCCGTCAGATATCAATAAAGGTGTATGCTACAGAATACAAGACGTCCACACTTCAATGTTCATATCAACTTGATATTGTTTGAGATACTCACAAGTAGTTTAAAATATATTATATACATACAAATATATAGCTGTGTTATAGTAGAGCTAGTTTACAGCACAGACACAATCAGAGGCCCAAATTTAGTGGTAGTAATTGGAATCATCCAAATTTTTTATTGCCTTAGAGCTAACATAATAATATTATAGTATGTTGAGGTGATTCTGGAAGTTAAGTTAAGTTTGAACTCTATTCTCCAGATTCAATCTGTGTTGCTGGACCAGGTGTAAACTAGCCCTAACTGATGCTGTTCTAATTATTGTTGGTCTTGATATAGTTGTAAGGCTTAATCAAGAGCCTTTGATGTTCATAATGATAGATGTACAATTTTATATTATGATTGCTGAGGTTGGTTCCAACAAAAAGTTGAAATGACAGTTGTGGAATTTTAAAAATTTTAAAAACTGTTGCTGTGTAGTCTTGCTGTCATTCTAGTCAAAAGTAAAATTGTTGTTTTTCATTCTATGGTGTGCAATTTTTATTTTGCTTGGATTTTTCCTTGTAGATTAATAGATTTTTGAAGCATTCACCTCTTTTTTTTATATCATCACAACATTTGGATTTTAACTTCTCAAAATGTTAGCAAGCAGTGAACAGTGACTAAAGTGCATAGTCTTTAGAAGAAGGGGGTATCCCCTTTAACTAGGGGATATATCCATTAACAAAGGCTTATTGTCACATCATTGTATGGGTGTGACACTATCTAGGCTAGGCTATTTCCTACATTTAGGTTTATAGCCTACTAATGACAAGGAAACTCTTCTCTTAAATTTGAGTAAGTGATATTTTATCAAACGTCTCTAGATCTCTTAAATTTGGTGAACAATACTTGAAAAAGTTAATTAACAGCCTTAATTAAGTGGAGCACTAAGCCTTTGTCAAGGCCAGAAACCCTAGTAATGTCGTTTCACTCTACTTGTTTAAGGGTTTTCACCCTCAAGTTAAGAGAGAATGACTCTTAGCCCACGGACAACCATTTAAGAGTTTTACTCTCAAAAATAAAAGTTTTTAACTGAAAATAGGAAACTACTTTGTGCAGTGAATGCTCCTCAGGCCAGTAGATCTAGCCGGCAGGGTTTGGGGACAAAGGAAGAGAGAGGAACATGGGAACTAAGCGATTTAACGGCTGACATCATTCGCAATGCATAGAAAAACATGTTGACGAATACATTGATCGCGTTACACAGAGAGTGAACACTGTTCAGTGGGAGACCAAGTTTCTGTGATATCTTTCTCTTGAAGGCGCTTTGAAAGTGTCAGATCGAGAGCGAGGAAGAAACTCCCCAACTGTAAGCTCGGTCCAATGTTTGACCGTAAAAATTAGCACACCATTACTTTTCCACAGACGTGTACACTCAACGACTTTCACTAACATTTAAAGTAACATTTATATACAGATCGTAATGTTTCAATTCTTTTCTCGCTTAACCCAGCGACGGGACTTTTAAGTGACAAAGTTTTGATCCAATTGATTCACTTACGCGCAAATCATGCGGTCTGAATCACGTTTCTTCGACAACTCTGAGAAGTGAATGTGTAAGAAAAGTAATGACTGCTTCCGCACATATTGCTCTGCATATACCCAGATTTAGTTTTACCTAAAGTTTAAATTACTTCACTATCACAGAAAAAAATATTTTTATATTCATATCATATGTTTTTATCAGTCCAGTTTGACTCGAAAAGGAACATAATAATATTCAATATTCCTCGTGCATATCATGCAAGTATTTCTCGATTTGTCTCACACTGTTAGAAATCACGGAAATCAAATCACGACCATCAAATGCATTCGTGTGAAGTAGTCAGTCTTGAGGACTGAAATCGTTTTTTCACGTTTCATGCACTAACAGCAAAAGGGGAACAAATTGTGCTGACAAGGATGTTCCAAACGCTTTGGTGCGTGACAGTCGTCACGTAGACGGAAATTTTTAGCAATTTCAATGCTGGCTCGAAACTGAATATCTCTGTCAAACGAACAATTGTCGGTGTTATCATTTTACTGACTTTTTCAGGTTGCGATTTGTCGAGTCTACGGACGAGTTTTGTTTACAGAGGCTTAACTGAGGTTAAAAAATTCTTGCCTGCTCTGTTGGATCTAACGAATAGAGCAAACGTAAACGAGATTCAAGTTAAACTTTTAGTTAGCGTTACGTTTCATATGACCTCGTTCTAAACATGTACATGTATCAAGTTTGTAAACAGAATAAGAAAGATGGTAAATTTTTAGCTTGGTGATGAAAAAGGGAAACGTGGGAAAGATAACAAAAAACATCTGAGTCCCCATGGGAAATCGAACCACAGAT